AAGGTGGCAGAGACGGTGTCAGGAATGAGTGAATGAGAAGTGTCCTGTTAGTCTGTTTTCCCTTGTCCACCCTTTCTCTCTAAAAGCTGCGATGTGGGTCAAGGATTGGAGCGTGTCTCCCCTGAGGGCGAGATGGAAAGGCCCTTACAACATTATCCTGACCACACCTACAGCTGTGAGAGTGGCAGAAATTCCTGCCCAGATCCATTACAGCAGAGTGAAGCCTGCTGTGGAACCGGAGGAGAACCTGCCCCTGCCTAAAAGGAGCTGGAATGAGCAGGACATGAATGATGGTAGCTGATCCTGAGTTCCCATGGCATGAGCTCCACACCAGAAGGACTCCTGAATTAGCAAAAGTGTTGCCCAGAGAAATCGTAGCATGGGTTAGGTTGCCACTCTGGTTTAAATTTGACAATAGGCTAGCCTTCTTAACAGAAGTAATGCAAATAATAAGCTAAAGCTTTGAATAACTTGTAGGCCTCAAAGCTTAGACAGGGTAAAATATATGGACAGGACCATAAGAGCAGAAATTGGTAAACTCCGCCAGAAAGCAAAGCTTACTTAGATACAGACCTTGCCACTGGTATTGTTAAAAGAGGCCTCTGTCAATTCTCTGGCAATTCTCTGCAATTTAGCAGGAACTCCTAAAAGATCTGAGAAAGACTGAACTAAAAAGACAAAAACCCTAGAAAGAGTAGCAAGGAAAGTGTCCACTGGAGTAATTAGCCGTGTTCTGTTTAGTCTTTTGTGTCTTTACACCATCATCCTGACCACATGCACAGCAGTGAAGGTGGAAGGAATCCTCACCTGAAGTCATCACAGTTGGCTGAATAGAACTTCACTGCCCCTTGGAAAGTAAAGGTAAATTTTAAGACAGTCAACGTGCCCTGCTCCAGCCACATACTGGGGACTGGCTTGTCAACGCAGGGCTGAAGCCTGAGGAAACCCCTCGAGGGACTTATTTTAATTGGACTTTGAACTTTGAGAAAAAGAAAAGGGAAATGTCACAGGGAAAAGTAAAACTTATATGTATGTTAGCCCACCACCCCGGTACTATTAAGGCCCGAGTAGAGAACCCAAGAAAAGTCACAGTTCCTAAAACCTTAGTGCTAAAAAGTAATTAATATCGGCACCTACAAAAACAAGCTGATATTGAGACCCCAAATTAAAAATATATTGGAGTCTC